AGTGACTCCACATCTATCCCCACATCTGCTGGGTTCCAAGACAGAGATCCTAGAAAGGAAAGACACATTCACATACACAGTTGTTTTGGGATCATTTCATTTTTTCTCATTTTTCCCCCTGCTGGTCCTTTGTGCTTTGGAGTTTTTTCTGTTAGTTTTTCCTCTATTTGATATTGTTCTGTACTTTCATTTTTCTTGACTGATCTTTTCTGTTAATCTAATTTTATTAATTTCCTTTTACTCCTTAATAGGAGAATATCTCACTTTTCTCTCTTTCTTCTCGTATTTATTTTCCAATTTTTAGTTCTTTCATTTTCGCATTCTTACTCGTGTAACTTTACTGCTATAACCATTAAGTGATATTAACCTTTAGATATTGTTTGCTATTATTATTGAATTCTATTATTAGTAGAGGTACAGTTCTTGCATTTAGTAGATATTTATAGTACTGCAGTATTTGAGCTGTGTTTATCCTATCACAGACCTCTTTATGCTAACACAGATCTCTGTTCTGTGGTTAAGGGAACATTACTGGTTCTTACGGTATGTCAATACAAGTCTGCCGTTGACTCTATTATTGTTACTGATTTTGTTGCTATTGCAACACAGTGTTTTGCCAAAAAAGTGAAAAGGAAACATACATACCACAGAATATTTTTTTCTCCAGATGCTGAATAACTGGTTAGTGGTTGAAAAGTTAATATTATCTGGAAGAGGGGACATTTTAAAGCAGAGTACAAATAGTGCTATCATCTGACACACGATTTCTGTTTTTTAAAAATATCTCCATCAGGCTCCAAGGCATGGGAAAGGAGGACAGTTCTCTAGAAAGTACAAGGAAGGTTCACAGTGTGCTCCACCATGTGTAAGATGTCCATCTCAGTGCTCAGCATACAGTCTGTGCTTCCTGACATCATCATGCCCAAGTGCTAAATAGTAACCATACTACACTTGCCCGGTCCTGTTGGCTTCCATTTTGTACCAGGCTCCTCAAAATTCCTAGAGGTTTACAACAAGGCCTTTGGGGCTGGAAGTCTTTCTACCTTCCAAATAGGGCTTTTCTCTTTATAAAAAGGTCTGTGTTATCTGTTTCTCATAGTCTGGGCAGGTTAAAGAACACCCACTTGTTCCTAGGTGGCTGACGTCTTCTCTAGTAAAGACTCAGAGTTCTTATGCCAGGTAACGTCTCTGTCCGAGTTTTTTCTCCTCTTCTTTTTCACGTCTCTGCTCTATTGTGGACTGGTCTGAAACATAAGGAATTCTTCGCCAATGCTGGGAACTGAGGACAGTGACGAAGGCTGTGATGCCAGTGACCTTGTGCCCACTGGGGTATGTTATGTGTGTCTCCTTAAATTCACTTTTTACTCCCCGATGTAGAGTTTCCATCACACCATCTTCTTCTGACCCCGCTAGCTACACAAGGAGAGCCCGGCTCTTTTCCCTCCATTTGTGGTTTTACTATAATCGCAGCAACACTTCTCAGCTGAGCAAGGACAGTCATGAAGGCTGCAGTCTGAGCTCTGCTCAAGCAGTGCTAAGAGCAAGATGCATCCAGATAAAGCACAGCTCTCCCAAGAGTACCAAGCCAGAATTTGTGCTTGTGTGGCCCAGGGTTTGCTACGGGATAGGAAAAGTGCATGCTTCTTTAGGGGAAATGTCTACCTTTTCTTTAAACTTCCCTGAATTAACTCTCTGGGACAACTTTAACAGCGCTATGCTTTAAAGCTGTGTGTAGGATGAGCGTGCTGCCTCATGACACTGAGTGTTCATTCATCACTCCCACTCTATACTTCACCTTCTCTCCAAGATAGCAGTGATTTTTCAGAGCCTTAAAATACTTACATTTTATACTATGCTTACTATAACTGACTAAACATATAATCAACTGCCACTAGAAATATCTTTAGGTAGATTAATTCAGTGTTAACTCTGCATTTTTGCAAATCGATTTATGTAACATGCCTAAGGACCATAATATCTCTCAGTGAATGTTTAGAGTAGAAAATAATAATTAAGGCATTGAAAAATGGTGTTTCCATTCATGCTTCCATATTCTGAAATTTTTGCTTAATGTTCATTTCAACTCCACAGTAAGAAAAAGCAGCTACTCACATTTCACAAACGTACGACAGTGCACTGTTTTTTCATCATCTACGTCCCACTCTCGAAGGGAAAATGCATGTATTATGCAGTTATTTTGAGCTTTAAGAAACTGAACTTGGATGTTGTCTTAAAAGGACTCTATAATTTTGCAACCTGAAGCAGCAGGGTTATAAAGCTAGGGTAAAAGTGTAGCAACTCCGAGCCTCTGTAAAGCGAGGGTGCAAACACAGCTTTCAGGGAAGAAAACCATCAAAACAGTCATAATCCAACATCTCCAAACGCCTCTGTGTCTCCTTTAACAAATGTAACAAACACAACTTAATGCTTCTTAATTACATATTCAAAAAAAGACAGTAGGCTTGGAACTAGGAGAACAGGGATTAACTTGGTTTAAAAGACACTCGGAGAACGACCTCAGGGAAGTCACTGCACCTCCCTGACCAGGGAGTTTTCTTTTTCTTTTTTTACTTTTATTTTAAAGATAATAGAACAAAATAGAACAAAGCAGATCAGAACAGAACAATACAAACAACACAGGACTTCAAACGAGACAATACGAAATCAACAGTGGCTACCACAATGTCTCGCTTTCTTCAAAATAGTTGCCTATATGTTCACATACAATAAATTCAAACAGAACAAAAAAATAGTATTAACCCAATCAAAACAAAAGAATGAAAGCATTACAGACCTTCAAAACCAGACAACAGGAAATCAACGATGGCTACCATAATGTCTCTTGTTCTCTTCAAAGTATCTGTCCATATCTTCACACAAATTGAAATCAAATAATAGAAAACAGACTAAACAGATTACCATACCTCTCAGAGCTGTTTTAAAAATTAAATTAAGCTCCCATATCATGTGCCTAGTATTGAGTCCTGGCTTTTACAAAGTATCCTATCTGATGTGATGCACCTTCCTGCCATAAAGAGACACATTTTACCAGCTGCAAGCTCAGCATTTCTTTGTGAATGCCCAGTCATCGATGGGTCTCTGGTCTCTAGAAAGATTAACTGCAGCTCTAGGCCTCTCCTTTACCTTTTCTCTACAAAGCAGTACCTGAGAATGGAGGTTGGGTAAGGAGACGGGGCTCTCCTGGCAAACTCGAATGTCTTCCCTCTTCCTAAGCAATTTTCTTACCCTTCTGAAATTCAGTTCCCCTCTGCTACTCTCAGTTCATACTTCAGAGCTCTTTAATGACCAGGGGTAGGCAGGCAGGCATGTAGCTAGCTAGTTAGCTAGCTGGAGTCTGAAGGAAACCATGAAGCAATCAAGATAAGCCATAAGGCAGCCTTTGATATTCACGTGTGTACTTTAATTCAGCCTTCTCAAGTCCTTTTATGACTGGTGTTTACTAGTAATTTAGATATGTCCTAGAATCTACAATCTCTAAGTTTAAATCACTTAGTCGTTGATGTAGTTAAGAAAGAAACTACTTAAGTAGTTTTATCAAAAAGAGTATTTTCTATTTCACCGCCACTGCACACCAGTGGAGTGTGAGCGCTGCTGTCAGTCGCATTTCAGAGGTGGACAAGTGCAGGTGTGACTGGTGTTCGGGGATGAAGAGAGAAATACACAGAAGGAAAAATTTAGAGATGCTACGTATCTTTATATCTTAAATAAAAACCATAGGACACATCACTTAGGAAATACACCAAGAAAATGTTTGGCAAGTTTGTGAACAAGAACTGCCAGTCTTCATATCCCAAGGCATGAGATATAGCTGGGATGGTTCTGTACTGGTCCATCACCTTCCTCTTTCTCTTTGTATCTTCTCATGACACATGGCTTTTCTCTTTTCTTGCTATTTTTATTCCACAGTTGCCTTATCTCTGTTACACATATCTCAAACACTACTAACTCCAGAAAAGAAATGAGAACAATATACATTTTCATGGACTTCCAGAGAAAATTCAAAGAAAGGTGAAATTGCACACATTCATGATCAAATACCGTCTTCTCCGAGATGTTCTGCACTGGGGGTCCCAGGTGACCATCCTTCCTTCCCCACCCTTTGTTTTGTACCCTGCTGGCGTTTGTTATGTTGCCACCCAATGAAAACCTGTAGCTATGATTTGCTTGTCAATTTCACCCGTGTCTGAGTCTGTCAAGAGGTTATTTTACAACAGAAGATACTTAGCTCAAGTTAGATGAAATAGAATTAAAGGACAGCATTTTGTAAAAAGATAGACACTTAGCCTGAACCTGGATTGATTTCACTAACCACAGTAGTTACCAAATATAAATGGACGTGCTTTAAAGATTTTTGTTAATCCTTTAACAATTTCAGTTTTTTTAAAAAAAATTAGGATTTTGGGAGTTGGGGATTTCTAACTATCACACTCCAGTCTAAAGGTCTTAAATACTGACTCTGAGATAAGAGAACAGGGTCATTATCTAGATGCTTGGTATAGTTTCTTGAAGCTTTAAAATTGTCTTGATCTTATGGGGTTTTTTTTTTGAGTTTTGTTTTTGTTTTGCAATGTTGATGATAAAACCCAGGGCCTAGTACATCCTAGGCAGTGCTATACCACTGAGTTACATTCCCAACCCTGATTTAGGCTTGTTTTTAAGACAATAAAACCATGATTGAGTGGCTGAGCTTAGGTGACAACAGAGAACCCAAGAAAGTACTCAGATTCTTATTAGGAGAGCATAAAAATTACTCTAGTGAGCATGGAGTTAAAATTAAAATATTATGTTCACAGGATTCTATTAGAAATCAGATTTCTGCACTTATCTTTGTACCACTTTAATTGTAAAGTAGATGTAAAACTTTTTAAACACTAAAACAAGTAATAAAAAAATAACTAAATCTCATACCTACAGGATAATCTTCTCTGTGTAAGTCCAGTGAAAATGTAAAGCCTCTTAGGTCACATTTGTTGCCATACCTGTCCTGTGTAGGCAAATTCCAGAGCCTGCTTTAAACCAAGACTGGTCACACCATGTAAATTCACTTCATCAGCTCCGCTTTCCACCATACAAAGGCTGAACATTGCCTGAGGTGGGGGAAGAAAGAATGAATTATGGAATTTAAAAAGCAAGGAGGTAAGATAATGTCCTAGAAAGACCAGGAAAGAGCTTTACAGATTAAAGATTGATTTTGATTTCTGAAATGCGCCTTCAAAGATGCATTCACTTAAGCCAGTGCAAATTATTCAGATCTCCTCACAGAGGCTGTAGCAATGCACATGGTACCACATTCCTCACACAGAATCCCAGCTGAGGCGACTATGCCCAGGGTCCCTAAACTCCCTCTCTCCACCCCAGGATCTCACTGCTACTTAGTGCAATCTTAAACATCCTGGTTAATAGCATATGAAAAGTGGGCCTGCATTTCCTGATTGCTTTGCCTTTGTGATGCAGCAATCCCACTTCTGGGTATATCTCATAGATTCTTATTCATAGTTTCACTTGCTGCTGCTGCCATTACCAATATCAACTACAAGGCAAAAATACTAAATGCAAAATTACAGAAATCAACAAGTCGTAAGTTTTCAACTGTGTGCTGTTCTGAGTAGCATGATAAAATCTCAGCACTGCCCACTTGGTCTCTCCAGCATCATCCCTTTTTCCAGTGTATCTGTGCTATGTATTTTACTCTACCCGTTCACCCTTGATAGCCATTTCAGTCATCAGACCAACCCAGAAAGAACTACAATGCTGTGTTCATTAAACCCTACACAGTAGTCTAACCTTGGCATTCACCTCATTCATCCCACGACACAGACATTGCATCGTCTCATATTAACACAGGGATGAATGAAGTACAGTAAGATATACTGAAAGACAGATCACATTAAATTTATCAAATTTTTATAATTTTTCTATTATATTGGTTATTAACATACTGTACAAATTTATAAACTAAACTTTATCATAGGTATGTACATATAGGAAAAAATACAGCATAGAGAGTTTGGTACTACTGGGTACTAGGCATATACAAGGGGTCCTAGAATATATTGTTCAAAGGCAGGGAAGGAATCATTTGTATACAAATGAAATGAAATTAGTATCCCAAAGACAAACTGACACTCACGTTCACTGTAGCATTATCTACAGTAGTCAAGATAAGGAAGTAATACAAATATTCATTATATGTGAGGATAAAGAAACTGGATAAAGTATACACATACAAACATACATATACATACAAAGGCAAATTATTCAGCCTAGATTTAAAAAAAGGAAATCTTGTATTTGTTAACATGGATGAACTCAGGGAATATCACCCTAAGTAAAATAAGCCAGACCCAGAAATATGAATACTGAACAATCTCATTCAAAATTTCAACCTACAATAGTTAAACTCAGATGCAGAGGACAAAATGGTCCTAGCTAGGGAGTTGGGGGAGAAAGAGAGTTCTGGAGACCTCATGTACAGCAATGTGATCAATACTGTCTTGTATACTTCAAGGGAAAAAGGAAAAGAAAACAACAATTATGTGTGGTGCTGAATATGTTAATTAGCCTGTGATTATTTCACTTTATATATACATGAAAACCTCAAACTTGAAACCGATACATAATCTTGTCAATTATGTAATAATACAATGGAAAAGAAAAAACTTTGGATTTGAAGTCACATAATCCCGAGCACAGTGGGGCACAGTAAGACCAAGCTTATAACTAAATAGATCAGGGTTAGGATACTGGAAAACAGTGTTAGCCAAGCACTTAATTCTCTGAGTTAGCTTTCTTATCTGCAAAACAGGGCTAAAATTGTACCCATTTCATAAATTTATTTGACAATTACCTGATAGCACACATAAAACATTCAGTGGTAGTGTCTGACATATGGTAGGCTCTTACTAAAAGTTTATATTTTGTAACAACCATGAAATGGAGTTAAGTATCTCTTATGTACTCTTTGGAAATCAAGTGTGGCTATAGATTTAAAAATGCTGACAAGTAACTGATTTAAGAGTGAAATGCATTCTGCTTACGCACTTGTAGAGGATAGTTCAAAATTCCAAAGTAAAAAAACGGAAGTTACAACTTTTAAAATCATCTGATTTGTGTAATTACACATTTGTTTCTACATTTCTAATAACCACTTTGAAAAGAAACTCAAGGAAATTTCAGTCATTCTCGATGTTGGTTTTTTTATCACATGGAGGCTACATTTTAATATTCCCTATACTAATTTCTTTTTTCAGATCTTCATATTGGTAATTACATCTGATATGGTGGCCAACTGCTTTCCATTTATCCAATATGGACAGCAGGACAGAAATAGCTTAAAAGGTAGAATTATCTGAGTTAATGAAATGCTCTTCCTGACAGCAAATGTTAAAGAAAACAAAACAAGCCATGAGAGTTTTAAAAACCTGCTTTTCTGGATCTTGCAAAAGTAATCAGGGTAATACTGGCATGGAACTGGGATCTTCAATTAAAAATTATACACCACCCACTTGAAGCCCAGCTCAGCAGAACTCGGGAAAAATTCTTTAAATAATGAAGGAAGACATAATTCCTTAAACAATATACATCTGTATCTGCGCATTTGCATAAGCAAATTGATACTTTTTATATGAATATAATTAAATAATGTTTCTATAGATATATTATACAGGTATGACTGTGGAGAGAAGCCTTAATTGTAATTTTATCCCATTTACAGAAATACTATCTCAATTATTACACTAAATATGCATTTCTTACATATTAGCATATTTCAAATATGTGATTTTTAAAAATTTTGTTTTACCTTTAAAGTTCAGAACTGTGCAATAAGAAACATCTGATTCAAATTTTTGTTCTATTACCTCCTGGCCCTGCAGATAGTGTAGCTGTACATATGACCACTGGCTAATTTGTTGACCTCTGATTCCTGCAGAGTTGTTTTCAGGTATATATATAATTATGGTTAATCTCTAGCATTGTAGCTGGCACACAGTAGATATCAGTAAACAGAAATTATTATTATAACCAGCATGGCTGTCCTGCTCCTTCATGTCTCCCTAGAATCCAATTGAAATGAGAGCAGAGAAAGAGCTCATTTACCCAACCACTGTCTGAATCCATTGCTTTCAAATATTTTCCTAATGACAATCTTACAGTTCTCTATCTGTTTTTAGGACTTCACTCTTGCCACATACCCCTACACCCCTACTTTATGAAGTAATTCCATCATAAAAATCATGACCACCATATCTGTAAACATGAAACTTTCATTTTAATAGCATGTCATATTTCTTAAAACTTTAATGTTATAAACTTTTTATGCTTTTTAAAGATTATACCATTAGTTAACTCAAAGATATAATATGTAATTATTAAATCAAGATTAATGTCTTGGGTTTAATAAATTTACAAGACATCTCAATTAGGAAAAGCTTCACTGGATACTACCAAAGTGAGGAAGGGGTTGTTATGGCTTAAATTTCGGGTTCGTCTCATGTTTGGAAGGTGCTTGGATCATGAGGGCACAGTGAATGAGTTCACAGATGGCTGATTTGCCATTAGGGTTTGGTCAGAGGTGTGTTGGAGGGGATGTGACCTGGAAGGGTACACAGTATTTCCTTCCCCAGCTCCTCCTGCATCTCTCTGCTTCCTGGGTGCCTTTTACATCTTTCTTCTGTGCTTTCTGCCCACGAGTCAACCAACCAACAGCAACTATAAGCCAAAATAAAACTCTTTTCCGGAAGAATTGGCTACTGTATCTCCGTAATAGGACAGTGATTAAGACAGATTTTGGTATTGGGAGTAGGGCCTTTGCCATGACCATAACTGATCGTGTGGTTTAGGAACTTTTAGAACTGATTCTTGGGTGGAGTTTAGGAAACTTTGCAGATGCTACCTACAGAAGCCCTAGAATACTTTAAGCCAAGTTTGATGGAAGAGTGTGGTCAGAGTTCAGAAAACCAGAATGCAGACAAGAAAGATAAACAGTAAAGTTAAAGCTCAGAGGTCTGGGAACAAGAACTCCACTGGCAGCTGGACCAGAATATGTATTGCACACTGGCAGAAAATCTGTCTACCTTTCACCCTGTCCTAAGACTTTGTAGAAAATTGAGACTAAGTGTGGCCAACTAATTAACATGTCAGAGGAAATTTCAAGGCACCTCAACATGCAACATGTAGGTCCTGCTCGATGCTTTTAGCAAAATCTACAGTAAAAATCAGGAGCAAATGGCAGAGATAAATGATTTTTAAATTTTTCAGTTTTACCAGAAAGGAAGAGCCTGCAAAGTTGGTGTCTTAGACAGTGTGGTTGCTAAAAAGACTAGTATTTGAAAGAGAGCAAATACTTTTCAGTAGGAAAGATGCTTTGAATACATCTCAGGAATCAGCAACACCTCACCTTTTATAGACTTTAAGGTGCAAAAGATAAAAATTTCCCCTTGAGAAGAGTGCCCTAGGTCATCGTGCTTTAGAAGCACTCTGTAGGAAACTGGTTACCTAGCATTTAGCTCACAGAACTCTGCCATCCAGGTGCTTGAAAGTCTCAACATCATAATCCAGGTACCAGGGCCCGGGTACTGACTGAGCTAACAGTAGATCTTGGCAGCATTCATGTGATGCTGGTTTTACTGATATGGAGAAGGCAGGAGTTTTGGGGTCAGGAAAACTTGCCCCCATACTTCAGAAGGCCTTGGAGTCCAGGCATTTGATCAGGGAAGGCAGTGCCTGAAGCAAGAAGGTGATGTTGGAAGTAAAACGGCAACCTAGGAAGTTAGGGGTGGCAGGAACGTGTGATATATTCAGAGAAAAGTCACAGAGAGCGAACCAAGCCAACCAGAGAGAGAAGCTGTAAGAGTTATACCCTGCAATGCCCCAGGGGTGGGCCTCCCAAGCCGTGAGTGTTTCTATCTCGCCACAACCCACCCTGGGCGCTGGCCTTCCGTCTGGGTTTTAGTCTTCCTTGGATTCCATTCTTTTCATCGCATTCCTCTCTGTTGGAATGGGGTTGTTTACACCGTGTGGCTCTATGTCAGCAGTGATTAACTTTCTTTTTGATTTTTACAGGGGCTCACAGTTAGGAATTGTACTT